AAAAGTGTTTATTTTTAGTCGTAATTTTCGAAAAAAAATTGAAAAAAATTTTTTTTTGAAAAATGCGAATTTTTGAAATTTTTAAAAACTCAAAATTTGAATAATTTTGTTGATTTTTGACGAAATCATCTGGCCAACGAACTCAGGCGAGATTTTGGTACACTTAAAGTGTATACCAAATTTGAGGTCGATTAATTAAAATTTACTCAAGTTATCGTCGAGACAACTTTTTTGTCTACAGACATACAGACATACATACATACATACATACATACATACATACATACAGACAAACATTTGTTTAAAACCTATTTTTTTGGCATCAGGATGTCTTGAAACGTGGAGATTCACAAGAATTAGATATTGGTCAAAATCGGGCAAATGTAATACTTTCTCATTATGATGAGAATGTAAAAACAAATTTTTAATTAAAAAAATTCAAAAAAAGTCAAAAATATTTAAATGTTTTGAAAATTATGAATAAGTTACTTTAATTTATGTTAATTGAAGGTGGTTTAAAGAGAAATAATACATATTTGAACACATTTTTTCAAAATAAAGTGATTTTGCTCTGCATTTTACCCATTTTTCATCGGTTTTTGTCATTTTTTGTCTTTTTTTAAAAAAGTGCTATAACTTTTTTGTTTTAATCGCTATTAAAAATTGTCAAAGGAAAAAAGTGTTTATTTTTAGTCGTAATTTTCGAAAAAAAATTGAAAAAAATTTTTTTTTGAAAAATGCGAATTTTTGAAATTTTTAAAAACTCAAAATTTGAATAATTTTGTTGATTTTTGAAGAAATCATCTGGCCAACGAACTCAGGCGAGATTTTGGTACACTTAAAGTGTATACCAAATTTGAGGTCGATTAATTAAAATTTACTCAAGTTATCGTCGAGACAACTTTTTTGTCTACAGACATACAGACATACATACATACATACATACATACAGACAAACATTTGTTTAAAACCTATTTTTTTGGCATCAGGATGTCTTGAAACGTGGAGATTCACAAGAATTAGATATTGGTCAAAATCGGGCAAATGTAATACTTTCTCATTATGATGAGAATGTAAAAACAAATTTTTAATTAAAAAAATTCAAAAAAAGTCAAAAATATTTAAATGTTTTGAAAATTATGAATAAGTTACTTTAATTTATGTTAATTGAAGGTGGTTTAAAGAGAAATAATACATATTTGAACACATTTTTTCAAAATAAAGTGATTTTGCTCTGCATTTTACCCATTTTTCATCGGTTTTTGTCATTTTTTGTCTTTTTTTAAAAAAGTGCTATAACTTTTTTGTTTTAATCGCTATTAAAAATTGTCAAAGGAAAAAAGTGTTTATTTTTAGTCGTAATTTTCGAAAAAAAATTGAAAAAAATTTTTTTTTGAAAAATGCGAATTTTTGAAATTTTTAAAAACTCAAAATTTGAATAATTTTGTTGATTTTTGACGAAATCATCTGGCCAACGAACTCAGGCGAGATTTTGGTACACTTAAAGTGTATACCAAATTTGAGGTCGATTAATTAAAATTTACTCAAGTTATCGTCGAGACAACTTTTTTGTCTACAGACATACAGACATACATACATACATACATACATACATACATACATACAGACAAACATTTGTTTAAAACCTATTTTTTTGGCATCAGGATGTCTTGAAACGTGGAGATTCACAAGAATTAGATATTGGTCAAAATCGGGCAAATGTAATACTTTCTCATTATGATGAGAATGTAAAAACAAATTTTTAATTAAAAAAATTCAAAAAAAGTCAAAAATATTTAAATGTTTTGAAAATTATGAATAAGTTACTTTAATTTATGTTAATTGAAGGTGGTTTAAAGAGAAATAATACATATTTGAACACATTTTTTCAAAATAAAGTGATTTTGCTCTGCATTTTACCCATTTTTCATCGGTTTTTGTCATTTTTTAAAAAAGTGCTATAACTTTTTTGTTTTAATCGCTATTAAAAATTGTCAAAGGAAAAAAGTGTTTATTTTTAGTCGTAATTTTCGAAAAAAAATTGAAAAAAATTTTTTTTTGAAAAATGCGAATTTTTGAAATTTTTAAAAACTCAAAATTTGAATAATTTTGTTGATTTTTGACGAAATCATCTGGCCAACGAACTCAGGCGAGATTTTGGTACACTTAAAGTGTATACCAAATTTGAGGTCGATTAATTAAAATTTACTCAAGTTATCGTCGAGACAACTTTTTTGTCTACAGACATACAGACATACATACATACATACATACATACATACATACATACAGACAAACATTTGTTTAAAACCTATTTTTTTGGCATCAGGATGTCTTGAAACGTGGAGATTCACAAGAATTAGATATTGGTCAAAATCGGGCAAATGTAATACTTTCTCATTATGATGAGAATGTAAAAAGTACTTCAATCCTGAAAACAAATACGATTAGAATTGTACGTAGGGTCGTTCGGTAAATCCGAACGCTAATTATTTCAGCTTAATTAAAATTTTTAAAAATAAGTTCGATATGAGAATTTTTACCTCAGATCCTCTTCAAGAGATTCTAAGTATTATCCCATTTTTCGTTTGTTAATTAGCAACAGCATAAACAAAGATAACGAGTATTGCAAAAAAGATTGAAATTCAAAGATGACACTCTTTCAGTATTTTGTCTCGTATTTGAAGAAAAAAAGAAGCTAAAAATTCATTTTATTATTTATAATTGTTTGTTATGAATACTAGAACAGAAACTATTTTTGATTTTTGCCTTCTGTAAAATTTTATTAATAATATCAGACCGTTTGTATTTACCCCGTAAAATTGGAAAACCGGGGTAAATCCGAATGGTATTTTCAATAATTTTTTCTTATATCAGAGCCACACAAAATTCTTTTTATTTGATTACACTATTATTTTGACATTATAAAAGTACATAGAAAAAAGTTTTTCTTTCTATACGTATCCTCGTTAGTAATTAATAAGCAGAAACTTAATCTCTGTTCTCTCGAAGGAGTGTTTCAATTTTTTTGCCAAATGGTTTGTTGAAAAAAGTTTTTCAGGATCTTAATAAAATTTGGTATTCTACGGTTTTTGGGGTCGCTAATTACCAATTTGAAGTCAGTTTTCCAAATTTCAAAATGGCGGACGAGAATTAAAAAATTCATTGGATTCGCTCGAAAATTGTTACTCTGGGGGTTTCAGGGTCGCTGATTACGAATTTTTGATCATTTTTACAAATAAGTTTTAGGAAAGTCCGCCATTTTGAATTTAAAAAATTTGACTTTTATTTTTGTATTTACATTCAATCACTCCAAAATACTTTCTGTACCAAGTTTTGCAAAAATCCGTTATGATTTGATAAAGTTATTGAAGGTTTTAATTGTGTAATGCATTTTAATTTTTAACCTGTTTGATTTTTGTATTTATATATGATGCATTATTACATAATAGGTTTATTATCGTATTTTTTTGAGTTTTTATATAAGTTTAACAATTGCAATACTTTAAATTTATTTTCCCTAAGATTTTTCTGAAATACAGTGGTGTTCGTATTTACCCCGGTATTTTAGGAAAGTTGCAAAGTATCGAGGTAAATACGAACGCTAAGTTTCCTGCGATTGTAATTTATCAAAAATTTTTGCTACCCCATAAAATTGTTCTATGGAAGTAAAGTAACAACTTCATGCACCAGAATACCGGAAGTATTTTTTTTTTAAAGAAAAAACTTATGTTATTGTTGAAACTTACTAAAAGCGTTCGGATTTACCCCGGTTGACCCTACATACGTTTTACCGAACTGGACTTGAATTATGTAGTGCCCAGAATGGAAATACTCAGGAAAGCTGGCTATAGTTTCATTCGTCAAACTAAAATTCCATACAATTACATGTAGCTTTAAATTTGATTTGTTTGTAAAATTAGTAGATCGTTAAGAGAAAGACTACATGTTTTAAATAAAAGATTCATCAAAAAGTGATAAATAGCACATGTTTTTTGGTTACTTTTAAATCTTAATAAACGATTGTTTCAAAAACTAACTTTTTGAGAAATTCATTGAATAAATATTGATTTATAATTTCTTGTAGACTAATAGTCAACATAATCTACGTATACGTTATCGTAATATAAACCAATGTTTAATGATTCAAATTTTTCATATATTGTAATAAATTAAAATATCATATCAAGTTTTAACTATCATCACTACAAAAAATACAAAAAATATTTTGAAAAATTCCTTTTGTGCAACTATATTCCAACTTTCAGTTAAAATTCAGTAAAATGTCCGGAACAAATTTTCTCCGTGTAGTTGAAACAATTAAAATTTTTTTATTTTTTTTTATTTCAGTATTTTGTCTCGCATTTGAAAAAAACAGACTTAAAAATCATACCAAATTTTTTTCTTATTCCTTATGACACACATAACAGAAATTCACTTGAATTTTTGATTTTTGTTAATTTGGTTAATAATGACAAACTGTTCCCATTTACCCCAAAAATTTGAAAACTGAGGGTAAATGGGGACAGCTTGTCATATTATTAACCAAATTGATAAAAATCAAAATTGATCAAAAATAAATGGAATATTCTAAGCTAATAAATAATTATTTCAATCAATTATGAAAATTATTTCATTCAATACTGCATGTTTTTTGATTCAAATAAAAACATTTATTTGCATTAATAAAATGTGACCTGGACAGTTAAAAGGGACCTTTTGTCCGAAAAAATTAATTTTTTATTGATTGGTGATTCTGATAGAAAAAAGTTTTCTCTATCAGAATCACCAATCAATAAAAAATCGATTTTTTCGGACAAAAGGTCCCTTTTAACTGTCCAGGTCACAAATATATTTTTCTTGAAACATTTACCCCAACTGACCCTATATGAAAAAAAGAAATTTGATAAAATTCAAGTATGATAGAATAAGTGAAACAATTTCAAGATTATTATGGATAAAATTAATTTGTTTAAATATAAATTTTTTTTTTTTAATAGGTCATAAGTTCGGAGATGTCACAATACGTAGGAAGTGAAATAAGCAGCTATCCAATGTGGGACAGTTCAGTATTATATCCAACACCACCACCAACCCACTCACATGTCAATGAACATAGTTTATACAGACAACCCTGTGCATTATTGCATCAAAGGTAATTATCATTTTCAATTAACAATTTTCTATTGTATAATCGTAAATATGATTCAAAAATTTTGGTGCAACAATTGTCCTAATCGAAAAATTTCTATATTCAGTTAACTTCACTCATATTAAAACTCGTGGTAAATATTAAGTTTTAAACGAAATTTTTCAGGGTGCATGATTATCCTATAAAAATTATTTAGTGAGAATTTTCATTTGAACAATTTTATTAAATATAATTATTTTTTACACGAATTTTCATTTTTCAAAATTAACATTTATGTCAGAATTTCTTTTTTAAAGAATTTTTAATTAACAGAATTTTTAGTCACCGAATTATTATTTGGTATATAGAATTCTTAAAACGCCGAATTTTCATTTATCCGAAATTGCAAATGGCCGAAAAAAAACAATCGACAGAAAGATTTCTCCACGATTTTGAAAATCAACCAATCATGATTTTTTTTTGCCAACTTTTGATTAGTGGATTTTAAACATCGCGCCCAAATCGTTCTCTTGATTATTATTTGTAATTTCGGTCAAATAAAAATTCGATACATAAGAATTCTGTTAAGTAAAAAATTGTTTTTTTCTCAGTTCTTATAATTTTGAACAAGGGTGAAAATTACCCAACTGGGCCACCTAAAACTGACTTTTCAAATTTAAAATATTTTTTTTCATAATCTATTGCAGGAAGCCGAATTAAAAACATTCCTGAAATGCGTTTTTAAAAAAATTAAGTTTTTAATTATTTATTAACAATTAAATATTTTGTTACCATTCCACTACACTGTAAACTTGATGGTATCATTTTGGAATGCAACGTTTTGATTCGATATAAGGTATCAAATTGATCCAAATATTTGGATCATTTTCAAGAAATGATCCAGAATATGGGATCATTTTTTGATACCTGAAATGGCTGGCATGCTCTTATTGACAAGTTTATTAATTAATTTATTCACTGCACTGAATATTCAGATATTAAAAATACTTTTATTATGAATTTTAAGAAAGAGAGAAGCGAAAACTTATAAATTGCGAGCAATTAAATAAGAAAAAATTTATTTCGAAATAAAATGAAATACACTAACCTTTATTTATGTTTATCACATAAGATTTAAGTTAAGTTTACAATCACAAAACTTGAAAATTTTTAATTATTTTTATGGTTCAAATAATTATCAATAATTTATTTATTATAAATGAACAAAATTTAGGCAATGCACCCTGGCGGATTGGGAAAACCGAGTTGTAACCGAATTGGGTTACGATTCGGTTACGTTTCGGTTCATTGTGAAATATTATCGTTAATTGACGAAATATGTATTAAATAACTATTAGTTATGGTTAATATACATTTAGAGAGCTTATTTATGCAATAATAATAATAAATTAAGATATAATTAATTAATAATAAGTGTTTTAAGTGTACAGTGCATACAGTTGTTGAATTATCATATATATGTATATTACCATTAGCGGCAGCTGTGATACGTGCGTTAAACCCTAGATGGCGTTAAGGATCACTTTTTCGAATGAATTTCTAAAATTAAGCCCTTGAGTGTCAAATGTGTAAGTGAATATATAAGTTTTAAAAAAATAGATCAATTTATTATAACAACTTTTTTGATTTGTACAAATATAAAAAATAAATTTTTATAACGAACAAAAATTTTTTTAATGAGAAAAAGTTTTTTTCAAAATTAATCTTTTTTATTTTATTGATGAAAAAAAAATTTTATTAAGAAAAAAATGTTTATTTTTGTTATTTGTTTAATTATTATTATTATTATTGTAATTATTATTTAAAATTATTTTTGTTATTTGTTTAATTATTATTATTTTTATTTTCATCAATAAAATGAGAAAGATTAATTTTGAAAAAAACTTTTTTCCAAAAAAATTTTTTATTCTTAAAATAATTTTTTTCCTCAATGAAATGAGAAACATTAATTTTGACATAAAAAAAACTTTTTTTCCCTAAAAAAATTTTTTTTTCTGAATAAAAAAATTTTTTTTCTCAATAAAATGACAAAGATTAATTTTGACACAAAAAAAACTTTTTCTTATTAAAAAAATTTTTGTTCGTTATAAAAATTTATTTTTTATATTTGTACAAATCAAAAAAGTTGTTATAATAAATTGATCTATTTTTTTAAAACTTATATTCACTTACACATTTGACACTCAAGGGCTTAATTTTAGAAATTCATTCGAAAAAGTGATCCTTAACGCCATCTAGGGTTTAACGCGCGTATCACAGCTGCCGTTAATGGTAATATACATAATATATATGGTAATTCAACAACTGTATGCACTGTACACTTAAAACACTTATTATTAATTAATTATATCTTAATTTATTATTATTATTGCATAAATAAGCTCTCTAAATGTATATTAACCATTCCTAATAGTTATTTACTACATATTTCGTCGATTAACGATAATATTTCACAATGAACCGAAACGTAACCGAATCGTAACCCAATTCGGTTACAACTCGGTTTTCACAATCCGCCAGGGCACGCTTGATAAATATTTCTAATGCGTTGTCAATTAATGCAATTAATAATTTCCTATTACACAATATCATAATCGACATATATGACATTTGTAAACAAACAGGGTTGGGAAACAAGAACCCAAAATATGTTCGTCCAAAGCGAATCTCAATCCTACCCAACTCTGCTTTGGACGAACATATTTTGGGCTCTTGTTTCCCAACCCTGTTTGTTTACAAATGTCATATATGTCGATTATGATATTGTGTAATAGGAAATTATTAATTGCATTAATTGACAACGCATTAGAAATATTTATCAAGCGTGCATTGCTTAAATTTTGTTCATTTATAATAAATAAATTATTGATAATTATTTGAACCACAAAAATAATTAAAAATTTTCAATTGTTGTGATTGTGAACTTAACTTAAATCTTATGTGATAAATATAAATAATGGTTAGTGTATTTCATTTTATTTCGAAATAAATTTTTTCTTATTTAATTGCTCGCAATTTATAAGTTTTCGCTTCTCTCTTTCTTAAAATTTATAATAAAAGTATTTTTAATATCTGAATAAAAATAAAAATTTTTAAATAACCGAATTTTTTTAATAGAATTTTTATTAAAGCCTGATTTTTATTTAACCAAATTCTTATTTAATTAAATTTTCGCTAAAACAAATTTTTATTTAGCCAAATTAGTGATACTAATTCTGTTACATATGCAAAATAATTCAATAATAAATATTCGTTTTTTAAAAAAATTCTCAGAAACTAGATGTAATGAAAAGTTATATGATTGTTAAATAATAAAGTAAAGAAAAAATTTGATATTCAAGAATTCTAGTCAATAATTCGATAACAGAGAATAGGCATCGACGCGTAATAGCACGCCACGCGCGGCAGTAGTGACTGTTCCAGCGCTTGCACGTCGCTCTTCAAATTCGCTTAATTTACTCATTTTTTAAAGGTACTAAGATTTTTTTTTTTAAATTAAAGTTGATAAAGTGTAGATTTATGTCGTTTTTGAAATTTTTTCCTATACATATGAGAAATAGTTTAAATATTCATTTGTTTATTAAATAAATAATTTGTTTTGCATAAACAATAAAGACTAATTGAAATTTCTATTGCAAATTTTAAAGAGACATAATTTTTCTATATGCTTACGAAATTTTATTAAATTTCATTAACAAGCAACAGAGTAATTACATAAATTTAGTGGAAAGGTAACAAAATATTCAATTGTTAATAAATAATTAAAAAATTAATTTTTTTAAAAACGCATTTCAGAAATATTTTTAATTCGGCTTCCTGCAATAGATTATGAAAAAAAATATTTTAAATTTGAAAAGTCAGTTTTAGGTGGCCCAGTTGGGAAATTTTCACCCACAATCAATAGTATAAATAAATACAATTTCTAAAATGGTCAAATATATAAATATTTTTTATTAAATTTTGATAACGTACAAAATTTTTAGATATTAAATAATTTTGTTAAAGTATGTAGTTAATAAATGACGTGGACCTCACCATTCAATTATTTTTGGTTTTAAAATAAAAAAATTCAGTCTGATTGTATAGATACTGAAAAAATAAATTGAAAAATATTTTTAAAAAAATTCAGTTTTTGAGTTAGAAATGATTAATAAATTTTTTTTCTAGTCGCTACACGCAAAATAGTCGTACACAAAATTTGTCAACATCATCGTCAAAAAAAGTGAGACGTAGAGTGGCTACCGTTTCTCAAAGAAGAGCAGCCAATATTCGAGAGAGACGCAGAATGTTTAATTTAAATGAAGCTTTTGACAAACTTCGCAGAAAGGTTAATTTTACATTGATTTTCTACAAAAATGTTTACATAAAATATAAAAAAAAATTTTTTGTTGTACACCTACCCAAGCAAAAATTTCTGTCAAACGCCGATATTGACAACTGGCGCAATCATGCACCAATACCGGCATGCCAGTATTTTCCAATACTGTGCCAGTATTATTGAGACAGTAATGGCAAACCAGTACTCGGTCAGTATTAATTCAATACCGAATGCCAGTATATCCAGAAAAATTATCAAAATTGACCTCCATGAAGTTGGCGTTGACGCTCAGCGTCGAAAATTATTTTTCACAGGACCAAAAATGTCAAATTATTTTCTTTTAAAGATTTTCGGTCCAAATATGTAATGCCTTAAGAAATACTTTTTCAGGTATTATGTGAACCCAAAACTTTTTTAAAAATGATTTGTTATTTTTGGTCCCGTGAAAAATAATTTTCGACGTTGAGCGTCGCCGCCAACTTCACACAGTTTCCCTAAAAGTATCAAAATGAGACCAAAAATTGCATCAAATCTTTGCAACGTTTTGATGAACATAAGTTATATCAAAAAGAGATCGTTTTTTGTATCATTTTTAGAAATGATACACGAAACGGTCTCATTTTTTGATGCAAAAAATTTAATCAATTTATATCAATCATGGCCGAATTGAATCGACTCAAAATTAAACGAATTTTTTTCAGATATTTTGGTAATAGTACAATTGCGGAGACCATTTCACTATTTAATTTGAAAATGAAAATAACAGAAAATCAAAGACAATGTGCAATTCGATAATTAAAAAGTGACAGCTTATAAACATAACCTAAAATGCATGAGAAAAAATTTGTCGATAAAATCAATATAGCCGAGCTTTCTAGAAGGTAGATGGCAGTTTTGCTTTTTATAAAAACGATTCAGAAAAAATTTAAAGAAAGAAAAAAGATGAGTGCTGCCATCTACCTTCTAGAAAGCTCGGCTATATTGATTTTATCGACAAATTTTTTCTCATGCATTTTAGGTTATGTTTATAAGCTGTCACTTTTTAATTGAACCGCCGGATCGTAGAAGGGCATACGCGTGAAATCCAGCGCTTTAAGTTGGCCCCTGACATGAAAAAAAAATTTTTTTAATTTTGATTTTTGAATATTATATCCTTGTAGAGAATAAAATTACGCAACTTTTTTCTCAATAAAGTTTTTTCTTAAAGTGAATTGTTTTCAAAATAATTGCAAAAAACTTGATTTTTTTATACCGTAATATTTCATTCAATTTTATGTTCAACTCGTCATAAATCCGAAGTTTTTTGACTTTTTGACTTCAGATTTGGAGGATTTACTCATCAAAGTGTCCCAAAAGTGTTAGATGAACAATAAATAAATTAAAATAATAACTAACATTTTTATTAATTTATTTATGTTAAAGGCCAAAAAAAATTATTTAATACTTTCAAATGAAAAAAGTCTGTGACGAACTTTCGAATTGGAAAAACTTCCAGTGGAAGAATTGTTTATAATAGTTCAATAAAGTTTTTCCAAAAGGTTTTAAACTAATTTGATTAAACATTTAGAATTTATAACAGTTTTACTTTTTGGTACGCCGCGCGTGGACCGGCCGTGAGTATAGTAATAGTGGCGTGATGCTTTATATCCTGGATATTTACTTATTGTAAAGACTTTTAGTTTTTAAAAAATTATTTGAATATTTTTGAATATACATTTTTAAACAATTTTTAAAAAATATAATTTTTATTTTTTGTATGTATTATATTTTATTAATGTTTCAAATTCAATATTTATTATTTTAAAGTTTTTGATGTTTTTCTCTCGCTATGTTCTTTTACCCAGTCCGTCCTCTATTTGTAAACATAAACATAGCTATTCCTATATTGTTGAGTGTCTATAGAAAATAGTTTTTACGTACAATTCGTTTTTTAAGAGTGCAATTATTTAAATTGAATGAAATATTACGGTATAAAAAAATCAAGTTTTTTGCAATTATTTTGAAAACAATTCACTTTAAGAAAAAACTTTATTGAGAAAAAAGTTGCGTAATTTTATTCTCTACAAGGATATAATATTCAAAAATCAAAATTAAAAAAATTTTTTTTTTCATGTCAGGGGCTAACTTAAAGCGCTGGATTTCACGCGTATGCCCTTCTACGATCCGGCGGTTCAATTATCGAATTGCACATTGTCTTTGATTTTCTGTTATTTTCATTTTCAAATTACATAAATAGTGAAATGGTCTCCGCAATTGTACTATTACCAAAATATCTGAAAAAAATTCGTTTAATTTTGAGTCGATTCAATTCGGCCATGATTGATATAAATTGATTAAATTTTTTGCATCAAAAAATGAGACCGTTTCGTGTATTATTTCTAAAAATGATACACAAAACGATCTCTTTTTGTTATAACTTATGTGCATCAAAACGTTGCAATAGAAAAAGTTACATCAACCAAGTTTACTGTGGCATAGACGTGAAAATTGTGTAGTTTTTTTGGTTAGAAATTAAATTTACATACATATTTTTTTAAAATTATTTTAATATACTTCTTTTCGATTACTGCAATGCGTTCGTTAACGGAGTTATGAAATTTAAATTTAATATTATAACTTTTTAATAAAAAAAAAAAATACATAATTAATGAAGTTCTCAAATTATTTTTCTTACACTGAAAAAATATATTTCAATCAAATAAACTCTATTTTAACCAATAATTTCATTCAATTTCGGTAATTTAAAGAAATACAAATAAATATATATTTTATAATATTTGAAGAAATTATTTGCATAATAAAATGAAGAGTAAAATGTTAATCTAAAAAAATAACAATTTAAAAGTTATTATAATAATTTATTATTATTAATAGTTAACGGTATGAGCGCGTGCGGTTCGATCGAAGAGTCGGTTCTTCTGCTCAATTAATGTAAAAAGCAAAAAGAACCCTGAATTTTGAATATCTACCAGTGCTGGCTTATTACTGGTTACTATAATTTTGCCCGTACTGGCAAAATACAGAATTACTGCTAAATTCCAGTATTGAACCAGTTCTGAACGCCAGCACTAAGCCAATACTAATGACCAGTACTAATAAACGTTATCATTCCAAACATATGCCAGTATTGGTTCAAAATTGGCGGCAAGTACTTTGCCAGTACTGGCGCAACACTGCGACGGTTGTAAATTTTTGCATGGGTATATGTAGCAAATAATAATATAAAAAATTCCATTATCATTTGCTTTTGTTATTTATTACAGGTTCCAACTTTTGCATATGAAAAACGCCTCTCGAGAATTGAAACTCTTCGATTAGCCATCACTTATATTGCATTTATGGGAGAATTATTGGGAATCGAAGCATCTAGTCCAAAACATGATTATATTCCACGCGACTACTATTTACCAAATTAACATCCGTTGATGATTAAAAATAGTGACTGAAAACGTCTTCCATTAATTTTTAAGAAGCTTATATATAATATATGTACATTAGATATATATATAATAATTCTTAGAACGTATTTTATAAAAAAAAAAACTTTTTAGTCTGGTTGTTATTTATTTTGTTATTATTATTATTTAATATTCGTAGATAAATATAGATATAATATAAATGTATAAAAAAATAAAATAGTATTATTCTTTCTCTATTAAAAGACACACTGTGTAATATAATGAATTATAGTTTAATTATTTATTTTAAAACTTATATTATGAATAATTATATTTCAACATATCTGAGCAGCAATAAAGACTGTATAAAATAACTGATGTAAATATAATATAATTTAATCACTACCAAGGATAATTAAAAAAATGTTTAGATGCCGAAAACCGCAACTTCCTCATTACAAATATTTTATATTCATTCATTTAGATTGAAAAATGTTTCTTTTTGTTTATTTAATAAAAATATATCTTTTTCTTTTTTTCAATTTGGTAGAGAATTTAGAAAAAAAAACATAAAATTGTAAATATTAAATAATTAAATAGAATAATGAGAAAAATAACCTTATTCCTTATAAAAAAAACATCAATATAGACGTATTTTTTTATTTCCTATATAAAGTATTCAAATTTTCGAGTTAAGAATTTTTCAAATTTTGATTTTTTAAAAGTAAAAGTAGTACACGGGGACAAATGGATGGTACGGGGTACTATCTAGATAGTACCAGGTACCATATTTGATCTTACATATACGGACAGCTATCTAGATTCTATCAGTAACTATCCAGATTGTACGGAGTAACATCTTGATTGTATTATAACCGCATACTTTTTGTAACATCTTTGATAGTACCGAGTAGCATAATGATGGTACCGGATAACATCTACTTCTTACCATCTTAAGATCATAAGTTCTTACCATCTATTTCTCTCCGTGTAATAATAATGCATTTTGCTTCCTCGTGGAGGAAGCTTTGTAGTCCTTTCGTTTATAAAAATTTTCAAAGTGTCAGAAACAAATTTTTTTCTTTATAGAAACATGTAATATGAGACCCTGATCAATTGTCCGGATGCATATATATATATATATATATATATATATATATATATATGTGTGTGTGTGTGTGGATATAATTGTAAACAATATGAATTATATATTATTTTTCATTAATTTTTAGAAATTTCAGCTCACATGTGAATGTTTGATTTTTTAAATTCCATTAATTCTTTAAATTTAACTCAAATCTATAGATACTCAAATGTTTATGTTATTATTATATTATTTTTGTATGTTTATTTCAATGTTAATGATTTCTCCACGAGGAAGCAAAATTTTTTGCTGATCGTAAAGAGGAAGCAAAATGTTCATGTAATGAACATCTGAATTTGCAACATGTTGAGTGTATTTTGTGCAAGAAATTGCAATAAAATAGTCTGCCTAAGAAAAATTGAAAAACCGTCATAATAATTTGAAAAAATACGTATTTTCTTTTTTTCAAAAGATTTAAAAAAAAATATTCCATTAAAAAATTTTTTTGATTTGAGTAAATATTGTAATAAAAAAATTTGTAACCAATTTTTAAATTTGTTTAAAATTAATCAAAAATAAAAATAAAACATACCATTATTATTTTGTGCTCCTAGATGCGATGACTATCCCATTCTTCAAAAAACGAATCTTCCCTCTCGTAGATCAAGTGCCTGAAATTTTTTTATAAATAAATATAAATTTCTTTTAATGTTCAGAAAATAATAATAAAATTTTATTTTATTCCAAAAAAAGCATTAAAAAAATTATTCAAAGTTCATAAAAACGGAAGTTTTTAAAATTTTTTTTCAAAAATACTAAAAATTTATCTAAGTTGATAAATGGTGAGTGGGGCAATTATAATAAAATCAATGTAAAAATACACAGAAAAGTGTAGAAAAAAATTGACACCCAGATCCGAGTAGAGGAAGACCTTTTTTATGACCAAAAACGCATCCATAAGCATAAAAAACTTAACTAAAAAATTCAATTTTTCTTAGGCAGACGATTTTATTGCATATTCTTGCACAAAATACACCGAAAAGTGTAGAAAAAAATTGACACCCAGATCCGAGTAGAGGAAGACCTTTTTTATGACCAAAAACGCATCCAAAAGCATAAAAAACTTTCCAAAATATTTAATTTTTCTTAGGCAGACGATTTTACTGCATATTAATGCACAAAATACACCGAAAAGTGTAGAAAAAAATTGACACCCAGATCCGAGTAGAGGAAGACCTTTTTTATGACCAAAAACGCATCCAAAAGCATAAAAAACTTAACTAAAAAATTCAATTTTTCTTAGGCAGACGATTTTATTGCATATTCTTGCACAAAATACACCGAAAAGTGTAGAAAAAAATTGACACCCAGATCCGAGTAGAGGAAGACCTTTTTTATGACCAAAAACGCATCCATAAGCATAAAAAACTTAACTAAAAAATTCAATTTTTCTTAGGCAGACGATTTTATTGCATATTCTTGCACAAAATACACCGAAAAGTGTAGAAAAAAATTGACACCCAGATCCGAGTAGAGGAAGACCCTTTTTATGACCAAAAACGCATCCAAAAGCATAAAAAACCTAACTAAAAAATTCAATTTTTCTTAGGCAGACGATTTTATTGCATATTCTTGCACAAAATACACCGAAAAGTGTAGAAAAAAATTGACACCCAGATCCGAGTAGAGGAAGACCTTTTTTATGACCAAAAACGCATCCATAAGCATAAAAAACTTAACTAAAAAATTCAATTTTTCTTAGGCAGACGATTTTATTGCATATTCTTGCACAAAATACACCGAAAAGTGTAGAAAAAAATTGACACCCAGATCCGAGTAGAGGAAGACCTTTTTTATGACCAAAAACGCATCCATAAGCATAAAAAACTTAACTAAAAAATTCAATTTTTCTTAGGCAGACGATTTTATTGCATATTCTTGCACAAAATACACCGAAAAGTGTAGAAAAAAATTGACACCCAGATCCGAGTAGAGGAAGACCTTTTTTATGACCAAAAACGCATCCAAAAGCATAAAAAACTTTCCAAAATATTTAATTTTTCTTAGGCAGACGATTTTACTGCATATTAATCCACAAAATACACCGAAAAGTGTAGAAAAAAATTGACACCCAGATCCGAGTAGAGGAAGACCCTTTTTATGACCAAAAACGCATCCAAAAGCAAGAAAAACTAATCAAATAAATTCAATTTTTTTTAGGCAGACGATTTTATTGCATATTCTTGCACAAAATACACCGAAAAGTGTAGAAAAAAATTGACACCCAGATCCGAGTAGAGGAAGACCCTTTTTATGACCAAAAACGCATCCAAAAGCATGAAAAACTTAACTAAAAAATTCAATTTTTCTTAGGCAGACGATTTTATTGCATATTCTTGCACAAAATACACCGAAAAGTGTAGAAAAAAATTGACACCCAGATCCGAGTAGAGGAAGACCCTTTTTATGACCAAAAACGCATCCAAAAGCAAGAAAAACTAATCATATAAATTCAATTTTTTTTAGGCAGACGATTTTATTGCATATTCTTGCACAAAATACACCGAAAAGTGTAGAAAAAAATTGACACCCAGATCCGAGTAGAGGAAGACCTTTTTTATGACCAAAAACGCATCCATAAGCATAAAAAACTTAACTAAAAAATTCAATTTTTCTTAGGCAGACGATTTTATTGCATATTCTTGCACAAAATACACCGAAAAGTGTAGAAAAAAATTGACACCCAGATCCGAGTAGAGGAAGACCCTTTTTATGACCAAAAACGCATCCAAAAACATGAAAAACTAATCAAATAAATTCAATTTTTCTTAGCCAGACGATTTTATTGCATATTCTTGCACAAAATACACCGAAAAGTGTAGAAAAAAATTGACACCCAGATCCGAGTAGAGGAAGACCTTTTTTATGACCAAAAACGCATCCATAAGCATAAAAAACTAATCAAATAAATTCAATTTTTCTTAGGCAGACGATTTTATTGCATATTCTTGCACAAAATACACCGAAAAGTGTAGAAAAAAATTGACACCCAGATCCGAGTAGAGGAAGACCTTTTTTATGACCAAAAACGCACCCAAAAGCAAGAAAAACTAATCAAATAAATTCAATTCTTCTTAGGCAGACGATTTTATTGCATATTCTTGCACAAAATACACCGAAAAGTGTAGAAAAAAATTGACACCCAGATCCGAGTAGAGGAAGACCCTTTTTATGACCAAAAACGCATCCATAAGCATAAAAAACTTAACTAAAAAATTCAATTTTTCTTAGGCAGACGATTTTATTGCATATTCTTGCACAAAATACACCGAAAAGTGTAGAAAAAAATGACACCCAGATCCGAGTAGAGGAAGACCCTTTTTATGACCAAAAACGCATCCAAAAGCAAAAAAAACTAATCAAATAAATTCAATTTTTTTTAGGCAGACGATTTTATTGCATATTCTTGCACAAAATACACCGAAAAGTGTAGAAAAAAATTGACACCCAGATCCGAGTAGAGGAAGACCCTTTTTATGACCAAAAACGCATCCAAAAGCAAGAAAAACTAATCAAATAAATTCAATTTTTCTTAGGCAGACGATTTTATTGCATATTCTTGCACAAAATACACCGAAAAGTGTAGAAAAAAATTGACACCCAGATCCGAGTAGAGGAAGACCTTTTTTATGACCAAAAACGCATCCATAAGCAAGAAAAACTAATCAAATAAATTCAATTTTTCTTAGGCAGACGATTTTATTGCATATTCTTGCACAAAATACACCGAAAAGTGTAGAAAAAAATTGACACCCAGATCCGAGTAGAGAAAGACCTTTTTTATGACCAAAAACGCATCCAAAAGCATAAAAAACTTTCCAACAAAATTCAATTTTTCTTAGGCAGACGATTTTATTGCATATTCTTGCACAAAATACACCGAAAAGTGTAGAAAAAAATTGACACCCAGATCCGAGTAGAGGAAGACCCTTTTTATGACCAAAAACGCATCCAAAAGCATGAAAAACTTAACTAAAAAATTCAATTTTTCTTAGGCAG